CCAAGATGATGAGCGGTAAAGCAAAGCCCCTGTGAGGAAGCAGGGGAAGAGGCAGAGAAAGCTTTAGCCATCTGTCTCAACCCAGCCTTGCTCAATGCTCGCCAGAGCAGAGGTCACCACCAACAATAATAACCCTCAAGAAGCCAGATGTATGCTTTCCATTCACCAATAATCTACAAAGCGTCTTAGGGTGAAATCCTGGCTCCTCTGAAGTCAATGGGAGCTTTGCCAACGACTTCAGTGGAGCCAGGTTTTCATCCCAGATAATTTTAAAGCAACCCGCAGGCTTAAAGATAAAACAGCATCCTGGGAGTGGGCGCAGGCAGGAGCGAGCTGAGGAGGGCAGATGGGGCTCTACCAGCTACACTCCTCTGACAAGCTATCAGTCTTGTCAGAGACAATGCCTCTGCAGTCCTGGAGCAGTGTACCAGGACGGACAGTGCAGTGGACAAGCAGGTAAGCACCAATACCTTTCAACTGCTGGGCCAAATGGGGTCTAAGACCCAAGTGAGCTATGATGTTCTGACATAAACCCACCTTTATGTGCTCCCCACTTCTGAGATAAAGCATATAAAGTTACTTATGATGTTGTGATATATCATACAGCATTTTTTTCTCCTCCCTCCTTATCCAGCAGTTCTCACACTGGCCTTGAAGGGTGTCACTTGATGGCACTCATCCGAAAGGAGGGGGCTTTCACAGTTGACCAGGTACAATCAATGACTATTCATTTCAGTCACTAGGACCACCCAGCCTCTGCAAGTGCTGGGTTCAGTTAGGCAGTATTTTGTTTTCAGGACTCATAACACCAAGTGTAGGTGCCTGCACAGTGATATAGTGAGGCTGATCATATACAGTTCAGTAGACAGCACACGGGATGCTTAGGCACGATGGCCATGGCAGGAGACAGGCACACAGCTTGCAGGGTCAGTGAGGACATTGCAAATTCAACCTCAGACACAGTTCCTTGGCCTTGAGCACTGAAGGGGCACGGTGGCCATGGACAGCTCTTGTGCATGTTTGCTACAGTCTGGTCTAAGGGAGACCAGGAGGCCCTTCATCCGACAGTGCTGTCACTGAAGCCAACAGATCCTTGAAACACCTCCCCAAGAGAGTCCTCACCACATGGTGGGGACAGCAGCAACCCCCTTTTGAAGCCATGCAGTGAGGAACATAGGATCTGTGGGGCTTCAGAGAGGCAGAACATCAGATGTTGAGCTACAGCAGCTTACTGACTCCTGACATCAGCCGAGCTACACTACCTGACCATGTTGTATCACAAACGCTGAGAAAATGGGGGAATTTAACCCACTTCTGAAGAGCTTGGGCTCAATGTATTTCCTCTGGCACTGGTGAGGGGCTGGGAATTCACACATGCTGAGTCTGCCTTTATCAATGAAGGGAAGAGAAATAGGAGGTAAAAGCTGAGGTGTGAGCTGTGAAACTTCACAGGGAAGGAGCTATGAAAGGAGCTCACCTCCCTTACCACAGCACCACCACCAGACCCCCTTACTGATTTACCACATCCCTGGAGCAACATCCCCCTCAGCCTCCCCATGGATATTCTCCCCCAGGCAAACCCTCACTTCACTTTCTAGGGACTAGACAGCAGCTGCTAGAGCAAGCTTTCCCTCTGCTTTTAAGTCCATTTTCCCTACAGGTTGCACTTCAGTCATCTGGACTCATCGATGAAGTCATCTGATTTAACAGCGTTTGTGTGGATTCCAATTGGCATCTACAGCTCACAGTGTGCTCCCTGCTCCCCAGCTGCCTGCCCACAGCCACGCAGGCATCCCAGTACCCAAGTGCTGCTTCTATGCCAAAGTTTTCAAGTGGGAAGAGGCCTTGGTTTCTTGCTGCCACCCGCTCACTGCCAATAGTAGCACTGCTCCATCCCTCACTGTCTTTCCACGGCACTTTAATGCACAAAACTGAATGTCCCACGAGGAAACGCGCACCAGCACAGGCCCATCTCATCTGGATTAAAGATGTCTCTTGGTTCAGTCTCTTTCATAAGGCAAGGGAGAACTTACATTACCCAGAGCTCGGCGGCAGATCCATGTGTGTGTTTTTCACCAGGCTGTCACTCGGACTGTTTCACATTACGAGCCTTCAGCCTCGCTCTGGCTGTCGATTTGTGCTATTAAGCTCTGAAATACAGAACTCACGTGCCAAGTTTCCACTTTTCCTCAACAGCTGGGATCCACTGACAGCCACCAGCCTGGGTCAGACACTGGCAGACCCTGGGGGACAGCTCTCCTGCCTCTTCGCTGCCCATCCATCTCCCTCTTTAACCGCCCCACTCAGTCCCGCTGCCGCTGGGTGCAGAGCCCAGGCTGAGCAATGACAGCTGAAGCACATCAGTGTTTTTATCTTCTCAATATTTTGATTAGCCCAAGGAATGTTTGGGTTAAAAAAAAAAAAAAACCACATTTTTTAAAGCCCACGTGACAGTCCCGCAGGTTGCGATGGCTTTATGTGATATCAAATAGCTCTGTGTGATTTGCTGCACAACCCAGAGCATCGGCACGAGATCAGGTATTTATCAATGAGTTATAAATGGTTATAAACCTGGTGGAGGGGTTGTACCTCCCTGTAACACACTCAGGACAGCCCCTACCCTGCACAATCATCTGCGCCCATCGCTCCTACTGCAGTGCTTACACAACGTGTTTGTGGATGAAAACTCCTTAAATCTGAAGGGTTTGGGGTTATGGCTTTTGGTCACATCTTGAGCGATACTCCAGTGCAATTATTTTAACCATGCTCCTGCCTGATGGTTAAACACTTACAGTGGTTATCACTGGAAGGAAACCTGACTGGAAGGGTATGAGACATCATTCCGAGCCATTTGTGACCACAGCCTTCAGACACAATGAGACCTGCAAGAAACCTCCCGTGAGCTCCAATTCTGCTCACGTCCCAACTCTTCCAGCTTCCCAGGTCAGGCACACTGCAGGCCTGATGTGCCTTGGGACCTGCTGGCACCGCATGCTGGAAGCACATCTCACCTTTACATCACAGGAACCCTGCTGAGGACATTGGTCTTAGACTGAACATGTTCTGGATAGGGAACACTTCTTTTTCACCAGCTGCCCACTCAGACATTTTGATGTCCCAGCTGTCACTGGCACTGAGCATTCATATCCTCACTTTTACACATTACATTCCCAATTGTGGAAGAATAGCAACAACTCCAAAACTCCCATTTTCTGTTAGGTGACTTTATTTATGTTTCAAGTTCATTTATTTGAGCTGTGTCCTTGTTACACTGAGATGCATCTTCAGTCACCGAAAAAAGGTTTGGCTCCATCAGTCTGAATGCAAAGACACTGCAAGCGATAATCCAACCCTCATTTTCACATCTTTTCAAATTCACGTTCATTTTCAATTTGGGGGGCCTCCCACTCGAGAGAGGAAGGTTTTTTTCCACTGCACTTATGCAGTCAGCAACCAAGAGGAAGGGAAACCCCCAGCAGCCCAAGTCCTCCTGTGCCGGGAATGCACAGACCAGCCGGAGGGGACAGGACACTTCAGCAGAGCTCCGTCCCTGGGGAGCAGCGGTGGAAGGCACTGTGCAAGGTGCAGCGGTGAAGCGGGACGGGTGCGGGTGCCTCGGCAGCGTGCCCTGGCCGGCTGCACTGGGTAACCAGGGCTTGCGGAGGGGCAGGTCGGCACAAGGAGGAGGAGAGCGGGGGGGGGGGGAGAAACTAGGCTGCAGTAGGAGCTGCAGAGAGGGAGAAGGGAAAGGGGGGCAGCGGGGAAGGGGGGAAGGACAGCAGGGGAGGGAGGCAGGGCAGTATAAAAGCATCCGACACGCACCTCTCCCGACATAAGTGCGAGAGGGCGAGAAAGTTGGGTCTGGAAGCAGCAGAAGCAGCAGGAGCCAGGAGGAGAGCCAGTCGCTTGCAAACACGCACGCACGGTGGCAGGAGAGAGCGCGGAGCTGCCCTTGCCAGCCCTAGGGCCACTGGAGGGAAGAGAGAGGAGAGATGGAGCCAGGTATCCAGCTCCCAGGGAGGGCAGGCAACTGAAGCTTTTCGCAGCCCCTCGCCCTCCGTCCTCACCCGTTTTCCACGGCCGAGCCGGGGGGTAGAGAGGAGGAGGAGAAGGAGGAGGAAGGGGAGCCGGGGGGAAGCAGCGCTCTGCCCCCCCGGAGCCGCAGCCGCCCCGTCGAGAGCTGGGAGCGGGCGGGGAGGTCGCGGCGCGGCCCCGCTCCCTCACACCCCGAACGCGAGGGGACGGGCCGGGGCCCGGCGGGGCGGCCAAGGCAGGACAGGGCAGGACGACGCCTCGACGGGCGCCCTGAGGGGGGTCCACGGGGCGGGCGAGGACACGGCAGAGGGGAGAAGCTGGTCCAGGGGCCACCCCCATCCCGTCGCGAGGAGGGAGGCGATAGCCCCAAGCTCTCTCCTCCCCTCGGAGCGTCCCGGCTTCCCCGCCATGTGAGAGTCGTCCCCAGCTCCCCCCCCCCCCCCGCCTCTCCCTCCCTCCTCCCTCTCACTCGCACACACGCTCCCGGCGGCTCCCCCCCGTCCTCACAGCGTCTCCCCGCCGGCAGCCGAGCCCCGCTGCTCTCCGCCGGCCCGCGGCTCCCCGAGGCTGCGGGGGCTCGGCCCGCTCCTTCCCTCCGACGGTGCCTCTGGGTTGCAGGGCTGCCCGCAGAGACGCCGCCGGCCCGCGGCCCCGTCGCGGCTACCTGCCGCCCCCCGCCGCAGCCGGGCAGCGCCGCGATATTCGTCGCCGCCGCCGCCGCGGCGTCCCGCCCCGACGTGGCTCCGCCGTGGTGTGGCGGCCCCCGCTGCTGTTGCTGCTGCTGCCGCCGCTGCCCCGCGCCCGCCGCCCGCCCCGCCGACGCCGAGAGCGGCGCGGCCTCCGCCGCCCGTCCTGCGGCTGCCGGGGCCGGCGCTGGGGCTGCGGCTGGGGCTGGGGCCGGGGCCGCTCCGGCGACGGTGGCGGCCCCGGCGGCGGCGGCCGCCGCGGCTCCTCCTCCTCCTCCGCCTCCTCCACGGCCGCCGCCGCCGCGGGGCCCTAAAGCCGCCCGGCTCAAGAGGATGGTGCGGCTGGCGGCCGAGCTGCTGCTGCTGCTGGGGCTCCTCCTGCTCACCCTGCACATCACCGTGCTGCGCGGCGGCGGCGGCGGCGACCCCCACGGGCCCCCGGGCGCCGGCAACCACAGCCAGCGGCAGGTGAGTGCCGACAGCCGCGCCGCGCCCCCGGGGCGGGACGGGGCAGGACGGGGGTGATGGAGCCGGCACCTGCCAAGGCCGCCCCCGAGCCCCAGGCTCCCGCAGGCGCTGCCGCAGGTACAGACCCGTCCGAGGGCTTGCCTTGTGTGTCACTTCGGGGAGCCTTCATCCCCTCTTCCGAGGGACTGAGGTGGGAAAACGCCGCCTTGGAGGTGTGAGGGCTGGTGCGTGGCGAGCGGGTGGCAGTGCTCAATGGCCATGAACTGTAGGGTGGTAGGTGCTTGTAGCCATGAATGACAGAGCTTCTGACCCAGCCAGTCTGATCCCATTGAATTACGTCCAGCAGAGGTAAAGGGATTTTTTGTTAGTTCCCTTCTATTTGCGGGTGGTTCTTTTTTATTCAGTGTCATATGTTGCCATTCATTTCAAATGTTTGGAGACAGTGTTAAAAGCTGCAGAGTCATCAAAATTCCCAGGCAAAGCTTGTGAATCTCTGGTCTGTTGCGTGGGCCCTGACCAACTTTTTTTCCCTGTATCCAATTTAAAGAAAAATTAACAGCCAAATCAGGCAAAGAACTGACAGAAAATGTAGAATAATTACCACCGTAAATCAATGTAAACCCCTTTATCATCTCAGACAGAACCAGAGTACCAGCAGAGCACATTTCTGTAGAGCATGAGGGAAAATGAGCAGAATGTGGGCTGAAATGATCACCTGGTTTGCATGGGACCTGCAGCCGGTGGTCCACAAAGTGAAACCACTGGCAACAGGATGGAACCCGGATCTGTGGGCTCAACATCCCAGTCAGTCACAGGCTGGGATTGGGTCCTCTGAACTCAGAAAACCTCCTGTTGAAGATGTCCATGCTCATTGCAGGGGGTTGTACTAGGTGACCTTTGAAAGTCCCTTCCAACCCAGACTGTTCCATGATTCTATTAACTTGGTGGGAGTCCTGCTTGGAAGTGCTCCATCGTATGCTTTGGGTAAGGCCCCACGATGCTCTTTCTCTTTGCGTTGGAGTTTTATCATCGGTTTGACATTCCAGGATGGTTTTTTTAACATCTTCAAGATTTCTGGTAATAGTGTTTTATAAATGATGCTTTCTTTCCTCATGGGCACTTGAAATGCCTTTTAAAATGATGTTCCTTGGAAAAGTAAATTTGGAGAGGTTTTTTTATGAGGTGTTTGCTATCATTAGAATAACCCTGAATTTGCCTTTTCTTGACAGGCTTGTAACATAATGAGGGAAACATCTGGGCAAGTGGGAACTCTGGGTGATGCCATTTCCCCGAGGAGCTCTTTTTAGAGTGCTATTGTAAGGTTAGGGTGAAGCAAGAGGAAAATCATCTTCAGATAATTATCCTCTACTATTATCATTGCAGTTGGCAGCCCCGTGAAAATCTGTTGATTGTTGACTTCAAGGCTTTTTCCTGTCCATTTATTCTCTTTACGGATAACTTAATAAACCCCTGTGCCTTTAAGCATCCTGATAGCTTTAGCAGTTCCTATTTTCATCGTGTTTGGCCATTTGTAGAATTGAAATGTTTATATACTTCCCAACTGAATTGATTCTGCAGTTATGTATTTGAGAGAGCGTGTCTGTACAAGACGTTATGGGAGGAGATTACATTGATTAGAGCAATCAGTTAAACAGATGGAAGTCTGTCAGTTTTGGGGGGTTATAGCTTTAATGGACTCTGTTGCTAGTTGGAAAATGCTGTAACCTGTGTTAGAAAATTGTACTCTGACAGGCAGATGCTTCCATTCACAGCGTCACAACAAGAGCTGGATGGCAAGTTTGCACTGGGATCTTCAGATTTTGGCCTTTCTTTGGCTATTATTGTGGCACGTGCAAAATCGTAGTGCAGTGCATTCCCAGGTAAAGAATCCATGTGGAAAGCAAAGCAGCACAAACCCAACCTTGTTGGTATGAGCAAATAGAAATCTCTCAGGTTGCTATCACTTATACATTGTTTTCTCTGTCTTGGTATGTCTATGGAGAGAAAAGGCTGTGAGAAGTGATTAGGTCAGTGTTTCACTGGGTGAATTTCATTTGACGAAGTGCGTTACACACATTGTGGCAAACCCAGGAAAGAGCAATTTCTGCAGCAACTGTTCATGGATGTATTTTGACAAGGCAAATTTGTATGAAAACAAACTGGCTATTAGCAAACAGAGGGTGTGGTATTTTACAGCTGAGGTGGTCTGTTTGCACTAACAAAGTGGTCAGAATTTGGTTCTGTGTGCCTGAAAGAACCTCAATTGTTAGTCTTCACTTGGAAGAAAAAAAGGCAAAACCCCAAAACCATCCCCAGCCCCCCAAAATTACACATCCTTGAGCCATAGTGGGTTCAGGAGGAATCATCCATAATCTTAAAAGACTGTTGGAGATTTAAATAGTAGAGGCTTGTTTGTATTTGAAGTCTGATTCATTAACGGAGGAAAAGCTTCTCTTTCTGCCATCTCTTCAAATGAAGAAAGGATTTTGGAGGACAGGTTTTGATTCCTTTTGGCCTTTCAGTTATGTTAACCCCTGCAAGTGATTAGGCTGATAGATGAAATGATCCAGAAAAAACTTCCATCCTAGATTAAACAAGTTATTTCTTCCTCCCTTCTGGTGCCTTTCCCCATGCTGTGTGAGCCTCTGGAGTTCCCAGACGTCTGGGACCGTGTTGTGTTGCTGTGACTGTCTGTAATGGTGCAGCAGCAAGGAGAAAATCCCGAAGGACTCTTCTGGTCCGCACTGGGATGGGTGAGATACAGGGACAGGCTTCCTTGGTTCCCCGCTGCAGAAACAGGCACTGGACTTCTGCATTGCTGCAGTTTCATGCTGCTGTTACAACTGATTTGTGGTAGCGTAAACTAATGCAAAATGGGAAATTCAGATTGGGGTTGTAAAACATCTCATGGTTTTGAGTTGTGAGAGGGAGTCAGCCTTTTGTTTCTCAATCTGATTTCATTCCCTCCTTCCATCTCCACCAAAGAAAAAAAAAGGAGAATTGGGGAAGGGGGAAGATTTCATGGTTGTTTTTATTTTTCTGGTGAGGTCCCGGTTAGGTCTAATTGAATTAGCATCCAGAAATCATTGTGGAATATATTTATGAAATAAATCAGTGCAAACTTTTGCTTCTGAATAAAAGCAAATTGAAGCTATAGTAAGAGATGGGAAGATGCTGCTTGGGTATGATTTCATCTTTTTACATAGCTCTAAAATGAAGGAAAGGCTTGAACATAAATTTTGGAAGATGTTTGTAATACTTCACGATGTTCTAAAATCTGTGCTTTCCTTCTGACAGAAGATACTTCATCGAGAAGTTTATTCCCATCACTTCTAATTTTTCCATAGCAGGCCTTGCACACCAAGAAAAACAGTGTTCCCATACCAAGAAAAATGACCTTATAAAATGTAGTAACAGAGCCACCAACAATATATGCCATAGCACATGAAGTCAGATTCTCCACTGCGCTGCTTGCAGCAGTGTTACATTAGCATGAAACTCAGTAGTTGTACATAAAGCTGGGGCCGTATAAGAGAACGTCATTTGGAAAGAAGCACAATGCTGTAAACAGCTTTTTACTTTTAATCTCCTTGCCCCTGTCCTTGTCCCCCTGCTCTATCTGCATGCAAGCAATTACAGCATGTCAGAAATGTTCTCTGAGCCCTACCAGAACACATTCGACCGCTTGTGAATGGTTGCATGAGAGTCGCTTTGCAAGCCGTGCGAGGAGTCTTTACAGGGCTGAGCTGTTCATTTTCTCCTAAGATCCAGATCTGACTGTACTGTCGGTTACTTTTGGGGCACGTTTCAGTCTTTTTAAGGTTTGAGCGTTGCTGCTGCCCCTTCTACTGGGTTCAGGCAAATTACAAAATGCTCTCCAGCCAGATACAGTGGCGTGTTTTCGGCTTTCTGGCTTTCTCAGTTTAAGTAGGTCTCAAGCCGTTTACTTTGGGAGAGTTTTAGACTGAGTTTTTTCAAGCTTATTTGAGCTCTGGAGCTTTACATTTGGCTAGTTCTCATAAGAATTGGTCATCTAAGTCACCTTTGAAAAGCTGTCAATTCAGCCTTTCGCATCTGCGTTTCCCAAGGCTGTTCTTTTAGCCTATATAAGATGCCAGTAAGTGGATGTACACCCTGTATTTAATATGAGCACTAAGTCCTTCTGTGCCTTAAGAGCAGTTTGTACATTACACAACTTTCAGAGCAGGTGGCTTGTGAATGAAGCAGCTGATTCTCTGACGATCAGTGAGATTGTTACTCACCACAGAAGATGCCGTTTCATGCTTTTTGACAGTGATAGTAAAACCTGCCTGTTCTCAGCAGGCTTTGCTGTATAGGCTCTTAGCTGCAGCTCGCCCGTACCATTAGCACATGTTCTTGCAGTTATGCACTGAGCTTTGCGAATGACTTAGACCATGTGCACTTGATTCTCTCATCTCCCAGGGGAGAGAATTATGTGTGCTCTTTAGTGGTTTTGCTAGTGGGCTGTGGCTTGTTCCAGGATCTAGGGGGAAGGAAGGGTGATTAGCTTTACGTGTGCTGCTGCTGCTGCGGCGTGCATGGAAGCAGAGGATAGGATGGGAAACAAGGGTGAAGTATGGAGACTGCTGCTCTGAGCAGAGGACTGTCTGCTGTTGTCTCTTGCTCCCAGGAGAGATTCTTCTACCTTCCACACATGGTTCCAGGAAAACCCCAGAAAGCATTAAGCTTCTCCTTATACCTATCACTTTAATTCATTTCCTGGCAAACTAAGGCGTCCCTGATGGAAAAGAGCTACCACACTTCCAGGGTAAGATGTATCAAGCTTTTAGTATCTCCGACTACTGCAATAATTTAGAACATAGATCCAGGAATATCGTGTTTCGTTATGGCTTCAGGGAGCCATGTTAAGCAGGTACGAAAGTAACTTCCTGCATTAGATTTGGCCAAGGTGCTTGAATGAGGCATATTTTGCTGATCATCTCTTCAGCTCAACAGATAACAATTACTGTGCTGCTCCT